GAAGAGCACGAAGTGTGTGACTGTTGGTGAAAAACGGCCCGGCACCTGCCGCCCGGCAACTCCCAACACCTGCCCGGACCCCCCTGTGGAGTGATCTGCTGCTCTCTTTTGAGTCAACTAGAAACCTATCAGTCTTCGCTGTTAGGTAATTATCCCGGCAAAGCAACCTAACAGCGATGTGTAGAAGCATATCTGAAAGCATTCCCCTTAAGATTCAGACGAAAATCCAGTTGTCGAATTCTGCTGTTCTCGCAGTCGTAGTCGCATTCGCGATGACAGTCGCAGCGGCAACGGCAGTCGCAGTCACAGCCTCAGCCTCAGCCTGCCTCCTCCTCCTCCTGCTCTTTCTCCTGCTCCTCCTCCTCCTCCTCCTCCTCCTCCTCTTCCTCCTGCTCGTCCTCGTTCTCGTCCTCCTCGTCTTGCTCGTCCTCCTCCTCCTGGTGCTCTCTCCTCCTCCTCCTCCTCCTCCTCCTCCTCCTCCTCCTGGTGGTCCTCGTTCTCCTCCTCCTGGTGCTCTCCCCCCCCCTCCTCCTCCTCGTCCTCCTCCTCCTCCTCCTCGTCCTCCTCCTCCTCTTCCTCCTCCTCCTCCTCCTCCTCCTCCTCCTCCTGGTAGTCCTCCCCCTCCCCTCCTCCTCCTCCTCCTCCTCTTCCTGGTCGTCCTCGTTCTCGTCCTCCTCGTCTTGCTCGTCCTCCTCCTCCTGGTGTTCTCTCCTCCTCCTCCTCCTCCTCCTCCTCCTCCTCCTCCTCCTCCTGGTGGTCCTCGTTCTCCTCCTCCTGGTACTCTCCCCCCCCCTCCTCCTCCTCCTCCTCGTCCTCGTCCTCCTCCTCCTCCTCCTCTCCTCCTCCTCCTCCTCCTCCTCCTCCTCCTCCTCCTCCTCCTCCTCCTCCTCCTCCTCCTCCTCCTCCTCCTCCTCCTCCTCCTCCTCCTCCTCCTCCTCCTCTTCCTGGTCGTCCTCCTCCTCCTGGTCGTCCTCCTCCTCCTGCTCGTCCTCCTCCTCCTCCTGCTCGTCCTTCTTCTCCTGCTCCTCCTGCTCCTCGTCCTGCTCCTGCTCGTCCTCGTCCTCCTGGTCTTGCTCGTCCTCCTCCTCGTCGTGCTCTTGCCCCTGCTGAAAATGTGGCCCAGGAATGGGAGTTCTGGGAAGTCGAAGAGCACGAAGTTGCCTACAGTTGGCTACGGGCATTCAAAATGTGGCCCGGGAATGGAGTTCTGGGAACTCGAAGAGCACGAAGTGGCCTACAGTTGGCTCCGGGCATTCAAAATGTGGCCCGGGAATGGAGTTCTGGGAACTCGAAGAGCACGAAGTGGCCTACAGTTGGCTCCGGGCATCCAAAATGTGGCCCGGGAATGGAGTTCTGGGAAATCGAAGAGCACGAAGTGGCCTACAGTTGGCTCCGGGCATCCAAAATGTGGCCCGGGAATGGAGTTCTGGGAAGTCGAAGAGCACGAAGTGTGTGACTGTTGCATCCGGTTATTCTAAATGTGGCCCGGGAATGGCGTTCTGGGATCTCGAAGAGCACGAAGTGTGTGACTGTTGCATCCGGGTATTGAGAATGTGGCCTGGGAATGGAGTTCTGGGAAGTCGAAGAGCACGAAGTGTGTGACTGTTGGTGAAAAACGAGCCCGGCACCCTGCCGCCCGGCAACTCCCCAACACCTGCCCGGACCCCCCTGTGGAGTGATCTGTGAGCTCTTTTGAGTCAACTAGAAACCTATCAGTCTTCGCTGTTAGGTAAAAACTGACCCCAAGGACCCCCCCGAGAGAAACCCTAAGAAACATCCCTGATAACTCTGGCCCGCAACCCAGGCACGGTGGCTGGATGGACCGAGGGCCACTCAATATCAGTAGGTGCACATCCATACAAGCTAATCCTCACCATGCTATGTACAATGTACAATTATGTTCACATCTATCCGACCCGAGTCTCATCAAAGTATGCAACACATGCGGTTCGGGCGAATCCATCCGACGCAGCCCTTACCATCCAATTTGAACATAGAGGTGTCGGTGCAGATTTGCTGATTCTCACATCTACCCACTCCCTGGTGGAGAAGGGCCCCTGGGCACAAGAAGCAACATAAATAACAAAATCAATGAATACATCCATACGATCCCGGCAAAGCAACCTAACAGCGATGAGTATAAGCATGTATGGAAGCATTCCCCTTAAGATTCAGGTGAGAATCCGGTTGTGAAATTCTGCTGTTCTCGCAGTCGCAGTCGCAATGACAGTCGCAGAGGCAACGGCCTCAGGATCCAATGGAATCCCAAGGATTCCGAGGGATTCCTGAGGCATCCTGAAGCATCCTTAAGAATCCATAGAAATCCTTAGGAAACCTCGGCCTCAGCCTGCCTCAGCCTCAGCCTCAGCCTGCCTCAGCCTCAGCCTGCCTCAGCCTCAGCATGCCTCGGCCTCAGCCTCCCTCAGCATCAGCCTCAGCCTCAGCCTCAGCCTCAGCCTCGGCCTGCCTCGGCTTGCTTCGGCCTCAGCCTCAGCCTGCCTCGGCCTCAGCCTCAGCCTCAGCCTGCCTCAGCCTCAGCCTCAGCCTGCATCAGCCTCAGCCTGCATCAGCCTCAGCCTCAGCCTGCCTCAGCCGCAGCCTGCCTCAGCCTCAGCCTCAGCCTCAGCCTGCCTCGGCCTCAGCCTCAACCTGCCTCAGCCTCAGCCTCAGCCTCTGAGCCTCGGCCTGCCTCAGCCTCAGCCTCAGCCTCAGCCTCAGCCTCAGCCTCAGCCTCAGCCTCAGCCTCAGCTTCAGCCTGGCTCGGCCTCAGCCTGCGTCAGCCTCAGCCTCAGCCTGCCTCAGCCTCAGCCTGCCTCAGACTCAGCCTTAGCTTCTGCCTCAGCCTGCCTCGGCGTGCCTCAGCCTCAGCCTCAGCCTGCCTCAGCTCGGGCATTCAAAATATGGCACAGGACTGGTGTTCTGGGAACACGAAGATCACGAAGTGGCCCACAGGTGGCTCCGGGCAATCAAAATATGGTACAGGAATGGTGTTCTGGGAACACGAAGAACACGAAGTGGCCTACTGCTGGCTCCAGGCATTCAAAATGTGGCCTGGGATTGGTGTTCTGGGAACGCGAAGAACACGAAGTGGCCTACGGCTGGCTCCGGGCATTCAAAATGTGGCCTGGGAGTGGTGGTCTGGAAAGACGAAGAACACGAAGTGGCCTACAGTTGGCTCCGGGCATTCAAAATGTGGCCTGGGAGTGGTGTTCTGGGAACACTATTCCCAAGAATATATAGGAATCTATAGGAATCTATAAGAGTCCTAGGGAGTCCCGGGATTCCCCGGATTCTCCCGGCAGCCGCCCAGCCCCGCCTGGGGAGTCAAGATGCTCTCTGTTGAGCCCACTAGAAACCTATCAGTCTTCGCTGTTAAGTAAAAATCATTCGTCGGTCGCATTTACATAATACAACGATGCGTCTCGTGCACTCCTCGACGACACTTGTTTGGGACCCAAGCGCTCCCCAGGCTGCCTCAATCGTCACTGGACGCCCAAAGACGCCCCCAGACGTCCCCAGATGCGCCAATTCCCTCCCAAGCGCTCTCAGGCCCGCCGTCACCACCAGCAGCAACAGCAATCGCATCCTCACCTTCATCGTCCTCGCCGCCGCAGGAAGCCTCAAGGAGAAGATGAGTTATGAGTTCAGATCGCGTCGACGCGTGGACCACGCACGGCGTTCATAATGGAGCTCTCGCTTTGCTGGCATCGCGCAACATTTTGAAACACATCTAGAGAAACATGAAAAGAGCGGGCCGCTTGCAAGAAGGGACTTTCGCCCTGGCGCCGTGTATACTCGGCTTCCAAAGTGCCCTTAGCTGCTCGAGCGGACGGCGAGTCCTTTCCAACACAGTGGGGTCATTGGACAATGAACCACCCTTAGATGAGGAATCCGGGCCTGGAAACGAAAGACAATCCAATCGTGGATCGGCCATGGATATCACCGCCGCCATCATCAGATCATAGTGCAATCGTGCATCGGCCAGGATCAGATCATCAGATCATGGATATCACCGCCGCCGCCGCAATCGTGCATCGGCCAGGAATCCTCCATAGTCTGCAGCCTCCTGGGCACATTCCTTAACGCACGCCCCCACCGTTTGGGGGGTCTCCCCTTTGCCTCACGCACATTCGAATACAAAGTCCACCATCTACACTAAGTTGACCTTTCCTCTACCTCTACGACCTGGCGTTCCACATTGTGCAACAGCTTACACGGCTGATGGGCGGCTCTTCTTTCGAAACGGGGCTGTCCCGTGGGACTTCCGCGGAGCATGCGCCCACGACTTTGACATCCTGCAACGCGTAGACTGATGGAACGCATGCCCTTCTCGTAATGACGCTATCCCTAGGCCTCCGTGACGGGCTCTCGCGTGGGACTTCCGCGGAGCATACGCCTACGACTTCGACATCCTGCAACGCTTAGACGGAGGAGGGCATGTGCTTCTCAAAATGGGGCTAGCCTGGGCGTCCTTCTAGTGGAGCGAGGACCCTTTACAGCAGGCGACCGCATCGGACTGGCGGACCGGCTGGCCGCTCGTCATTCAAAAGGGGGGGCGCCTGCCGTGGAAAGGAACATGTATAAGGACTTCTTCGAGGATGGGACTGGGGACAGCAAGGTGTATTGCAGCATCGGGTCCTCGACGCGTCTTTGGCTTACTCTGGTCCTCCTCGTCCTCCTCCTCCTCCTCCTCCTGCTCCTCCTCCTCCACGCTGTGCCCTGGCAGGGCCTGGCACGGCCCCTCCTCGTCGGCCCCTCCTGTCTCCTTCTCGTCCTCTCTCCTCCTCCTTTTCCTCCTCCTCCTCCTCCTCCTCCTCCTCTCCCTCCTCCTCCTCCCCCTCCTCCACAATCCTCCCTCCTCCTCCTCCTCCTCCTCCTCCTCTCTCCTCCTCCTCCTCCTATTCCTCCTCCTCCTCCTATTCCTCCTCCTCCTCCTCCTCCTGCTCCTCCTCCCTCTCTCCTCCTCCTCCTCCTCCTCCTCCTCCAGCTGGGCCCCACGCCTCCGGCGCCGACGGACATCTGGGCCCTCGTGAGGAAGCCTCGCAGGTCGGCCTCGGCGACCCTGAGCAGGGCCGCCGCCGCCGCGAGGCGGCCCCCCCCACCTTGGCGGCGCGCGGCGGCGGGGGGGGACAGAGGAAGGGGGAGAAGGCACGGTTTCCCCCGGGGCGGTAGGCGACCCGAGGAGGGGGAGGGAGGAGGAGGAGGAGGAGGAGGAGGAGGAGGAGGAGGAGGAGGAGGAGGAGGAGGAGGATAGGGAGGACGGGAGAGGATGAGGAGGGAGGAGGAGGATGAGGAGGGAGGAGGAGGAGGAGGAGGAGGAGGAGGAGGAGGAGGAGGAGGAAGCAAACGGGTCGCCTAAGCACTTCGACCTTCGGAGAAACCATCCAATAGGGGGCAAACGAACCTACCTCGCTTTTGACCACCCTCGCTTCCAAGAGCTACTAAACCATGCCAAACTACGGCCCGCACTGGTCAGGCCGCTCGACGGGGAGGCGCGTGGTATGACTTGGTTTTGCCTGGAAGCGAAAGCGGGGTAGGTAATTCACGCTCTGATCCAAGGGGAAGGCTCTGTAGGAGGAGGTGGCCGCCTCTCAGAATTGGGCAGGGACCGACCGTCCCGTCATTCCTACAGACATGCCACGACATTTTCTTGGAACCCAGACATGTTCTAATAACCAAAAACGATATTCTAAGAACACAGACGCGGCATGTAAAGACAAGACTGTCTCAACCAGACATGTTCTAAGAACATGTCGTGCAGGCCACAAAACGTCCTTGAAACAGTATTTGGTGGGCCTGTTGGCAAGCCGGAGGAGGAGGAGGAGGAGGAGGACGAGGAGGAGGAGGCCGCCTCTCATAGAAAACACGGGCCTCACATCTACAGGCAAAACGGCCCGCGCCCTCTGGAAAGCAGGGTGCCCCAAAGAAGCCTTCCCCCCTCCCCCTTATACGGCAGGTCCGTGTCGTGCCGGCGCCGGCGCTGGCTTCTGAAACCGCGCTGGATCGTTCAACCCTGAACGATCGGGCGTTCCCGAAAACGTCAGCTCGCGCAGCATCGACCCATTTTGGAGGCCTGGAAATGGGCATCAACACTCACACAGGGGGGCTGCCTCCACTGGGGGAAGATGATCCTAAATTTCGGTGTTGGTGGTAATTTGCCGGTCACCTTGGAAGCCAGAATATTACCACCATCACCGAGACCGGGATCTTCTTCACTCGGTGGAGGCACACCGCCGATATTGGTGTTGGTGTCAACCTCCAGGCCTGCGACCATTCTGGGTCGCCGGCCGGGGGCGCGCAAACATGGATTAGCGATCCATGGACTTGGCGCGCGGCCGCCAAATCCATGGATCGGGGGAAATGCCCTCCCCAAGATGAGGCCGGTGCCGCCTCGCTCGGCGGCGGAAATCCGCATTTTCCCATGGAAACGGGACCCGTCGCGAATCCACGCCCCCTGGATCCATGTTTGCGATCACCTGAGTTCTGGGTCGCCGGCGTTCAGCTCAGAACGCCGGCGGCGGGGTCGCCGCTGGGCGACACGGCGCGACCCTGCCGTACCCCAGGGCTGGACCTAATCGTTGTTTTGTTGGACTTCGGCTGTGTTGTGTTTGTCGTTTTGGCAGAGAGGTGTACAGGAACACAGGCAGGGCAAAACGAACAACTAAACGAAAACCCAACGAAAAACAACGTTTAGGTCCAGCCCTGCGGCATGCCCTCCTCCTGCGCGCGGCCGGCCCCCGTCGCCGCCCGCGGTGTCGACCAGGAGCCCCACGACCTCGGGGGGGCGCGGCGCCCACCGCGGGGGGGGCGGTGCTCTCTGCGCGCGTGCGGGCGCGGGCCCGCCAACGGCCCAGGCGGGAGCACCGCAGGGGAAGGGCCACCGCCATGGTTCTCATGATAGTTCTCATGGCTCGATATCGGGGATCGATTAAGTACAGACCTGGTTTACCCCCAAATCTTTTGTTGTTCTCATCGAAGGCAAAAGAAGACTCAGAATGTTCGAACATCTGCGAACCTTCTACGCAGTGCTCGTATGTTCGACGAACAGAAATCAATTCTGGGGGGAATCAGTTGTGTAGTCGACCTCCTTCTCGAATGGTCATCGTCACAGTCATCATCATCATCGCCTCATCCCCCCCAGCCCCACCCCCGTCGCGCAAGAGCGGACAAACGATGTCTCATGGTCAGAACACCCCCATCACAGAATCTGCCACCACTGGCAACTCGGGGACGAGGCAAGAGTCAAGAGTTAATCTCCCATAGACGAGCCTCCCAGTGGCCTGTGAAGATGGACAAGGGGAGGAAGAGGATGGAGCACAAAGGCGGCGCTGTGGAGGACGGGCCTACCCGGCAAATAATGCACGCAAGCGCCACGCAGCGACAGGCAAGGTGGAAAACGCACAGTACAGGGTGAGCGGAACGCACGCCGCACAGAGCAACTGATGCAAAAAGGCCCACAGACTATCACGCCGGAGGCGGGAACATCAAAGGCAAGCGACACGACCACGGAAACACGTAGCACCCGGCAGCTGCGGATAAGAGTGATGTGGCGGCGAGGACGTTGGCAGCCTGTGAGGCTCTGAGAAAGCCCGCCGCAAGCGCCTAACCATTACTAATTATGCAATGAGCCCGCCGCAGGCGCCGACTTTTTCATTGAAGCAATGTGTGTTGGTCGCGGGGTGGGTCGCGGGTGGGTCGCGGGTGGGTCTCGGGTGGGTCGCGGGTGGGTCGCGGGTGGATCGCGGGTGGACAACAACAATCATTTTAAGACTGTTCGCTCTCATCTGTTCGCGTGCCATTCAACACGTGTATCCTAAACCATCGATGCCCGCCCTCTTCGTCTTCGATCGTACTCCCTTGGGGGTATATCTTTCTATCCTGCAACGTGTTTTACGTGCAGCCCCTGAGGTAGGGGAAGAGAGGACGGATAGAAGGAAGTGACACGGGGGAGGGAGGAGGATGGAGCACGAGACAAAGTAACAGGAGGGGGGCTAGGAGCAGTTTACGCGGGGCAGAACCAGACGGGCCCAACTGCCGGGTAGACCCTAGCGGGTGGGTCTGGAAGGCGGGCCCAGGCGGCCAGGTCGAGCAGGCGGGTTGCTGAAGCGTGCATCCTGCGTGAATCGCGAGGACGTTTCGAGCAATAGAGCGATTCTCAGGGAAACCGTTACGAAACCCACAGCGAGAGCGTGAATCCTGAATGTCGGGGGCGTCGCGTCTGAATAAATTGTAAGGAATTTCCACGCGAGAGCGTGATTCGTGGATACATTGTGAGGCACTCCCGCGCGAGATCGCGATTTGGGAATAAATTGTGGGGAACTATCAAGCGGGAGCCGTTGTTGGGGTAACTCGGGAACCAGGGGCGCAGTTTGCGGCTCAAGACAAGACCTTCCCTGATAAAAAAACAGGGTGCGAGCCCCGGGAAGGGCACTGCAATTGACAAAAATACAATGCTCACCAAGCAGGGGGAATCAACACGAACTGCTCTTCAAAAAAAAGAATTCAACAACAACAACAACAACAACAACAACAACAACAACAACAACAACAACAACCACAACTACAACTACAACGACAACCACAACACCAACAACAGCAGCAGCAACAACAACCACAACCACAACCACAACCACAACAACAACAACAACCACCACCACCACCAACAACAACGACAACAACTACAACAACAACAACAACAACTACAACACCACCAACAACAACAGCAGCAACAGCAGCAGCAGCAACAACAACAACAACTACAACAACTACAACAGCTACAACAACAACGACAACAGCCGCAACACCAACAACTACAACATCAGCAGCAGCGACAACAACAGCAACAGCAACAGCAACAACAGCAACACTCCGCACCGCAGAACCTCAAATCAGTCACGCGCCCAGGACAGTGAATGACCGTTCGCCCCCATCACTCTGACAAGAGAAACTTTGCGCAGCAGACTATTGCTAACAAAGCGCGCCCAGCAGACCCGACCCAGCGCACGAGCAGCACACATCAGTGCACTAAGTCTGGGTGCACATCAGTGGGGCAAGAAGACCTGGGGCGGCCAAGGGTGAGTGCCAGACCCCGCCGAGACCACCGTGCAAGCCCGGGGCGGTCCCAGGAAGACCAGGCTGGCATACCCGGTCGGGCAGTGCCGGGCGAGGGAGCGGCCTCGACCAGTGTGCAGGCAGTGTGGCGGCACCGGTTCGGAGGAGAGCGGGGGGCGGGAGAGCCAGGGGAACCCATCTGCGTTGCTCGCCTCACTCGCGCTGCTCCGGGCTGTACTGGTCGCAGCGTCGTGGTGCTGCCGAAACCTCTCCCTCTGCTCGCCGACGCACCTGCCGCAGCGGGGCCGAGTTCCCAGTCGTGCGGGCAGCGCTCTCCTGAGGTCGAGTCCCGATGAGCGCCTGCTGGTAGAGGAAGCATGCAGCAATCCTCCGAAACCTGTGCCTTTTTCCGTCGGCGGCGAGGCAGAGGCAGTCGGCTCCAGCGTGTGGCTATTCGGGGCAACCGAGGCGTGCAAGAGGGTGTGTGGGGGGGGGGAGAAAGACGAGAGCGGCCGCGAGGGGAGGAAAATTCCGCGAAACCGCAGGAGCGGAGCGGAGCGGACGCAGGCCTGGAGGCGGAGGGGAGCTGCAGCGGCGGCGGCGGCGGCCGGGAGAGGGGGCGGCTCGCCGCGTGCGGCTGCCCTGGGGCGGCACCCGGGACACCGCCGTGCTGGCCCAGCATGCCCGGGAGGCTGGGGCTGCGGCTGGTCGAGGGCGCGCGGAGGGTCCCAGCCGTACTGGCGAGGCTCGGGGGGCTGAGCTTTGTGTCGCTTCTGTCGGCGGCGAGCGAGGGGGGGAAGTGAGAAGGAGAAGGCCTACTCAGAAGGTCAGGAAGTCCCCTGGCCTCCTGAGAAGTGGACTCAGCCTTCGTCGAAAACAATTTCTTGTTAAAAAACAACTTAGAATGCGCGAGGGCTTCTGAAGAGTCCCGCCGCCTTCTGAGAAGGTCTTCTCCTTCTCACCTCCCCCCCTCGCTCGCCGCCGATCCTGGTCTTCTCGGTGGCAGTCTGGCCGTCGCTGCTGGTCACAGCCGCGCCACGCTCGCCAGTGTTGCTCCTCGCCCTGCTGCAGCTGAGCCGGTGGCTGCTCGGCTCGCTGGTACTGCGCGCGGTGTGCTGCAGGCCCTGCTCGCGCGGCGCACACGGGTGGTTGCACCAGCAGCGCTCGGCGACGTCCCAGTGGCGGCGGTGCTGCTGCTCCCGCTAGCTGTGCCGCACGAGGTGCTGGCGACAAGCGTGCTGGTCAGCGCGGTGCTGTATAGTCCAGCGTCCTGGCCGGCGCGGTGCCTGAAGTGGTGCAGGACGACCTCCCAGACCTGGCGCTCGGCACACGGCCCGACTCACGCAGGGAGGCCGATCGCGCACGAGTGGGTGCCAGAGTCGAGGCCGCTGCACTATGCGGCGTGGTACTCAGCGCCGTGCTGCGGGAGCCCATCGTGTTGGTTGGTGTCGTGCTGCTTCTAGCCGCTGGTGCTGCGCACAATTGGAGGTCAGAGTCGAGGAAGCTGCCCCAAGTCGCAATGTGGGGCACAGCGAATACATGATGTGGGTCGCACCGCGACAATGCACGAAACACGGCTGGGTCCCCGTTTTGGACCGATGCACATCAGCCATCAAATGCAGTCCGTATGTCCCCAATCGTGGACCACCATCGTGGTCATCGTCTTTGTCGTTGTCGTCATCATCCTCATCGTCATCATCGTCGTCATCATCATCATCATCATCATCATCATCATCATCATCATCGTCATCATCATCATCATCATCATCAACATCATCATCATCATCATCATCATCAACACCATCATCATCAGCAGCAACCACATCACCACCATCATCATCATCATCATCATCATCATCATCATCATCATCATCATCATCATCATCATCATCATCATCACACCACCATCATTGTCATAATGAAGGCCATCGTCATGATCAACACCATGAGACCACAACCTACGCGGTTGAACAAGGGAGCTGCCTATTCGGCTCGGACCCTGGCACTCCGAAGCAGCTCAAACCAGCAGATCGGCTCCTCGAAGCAATGCGAACTCACGGGAGGCACGCCTGCCCGCGGGGGAGGGCCAGGAGCCCCGGTGAGGGGGCGAAGCGACACGGCACACGGACATGAGGAGGACCTCCTCGCCATCCTGGAATCTTGTTTTTTTTTTCTCTCTCTCTCTCTCTCTCTCTCAATTCTTATTATCTCTCTCTCTCTGTCTCTGCTTCTTCTTGTTTTCTCTCTCTCTCTCTCTCTCCCTCTATCCCTCCCTCTGTCTCTCTCTCCCGTCCTCCTCCTCCTCCTCTTCCTCCTCCTGCTCCTCCTCTTCGCTTCCTGCCCCCCCAGGAATATCCAATATCCTCTGTGAGGCCCACAAGACCTCGCTGAAGCTTGCACGTGTGATTCCAAATGACCCGCATCATACAAGATCCATCGACCTCGTTCTCCGCCACCTCCCCCTCCTCCTCCTCCTCCTCGTCCTCCTCGTCCTCGTCCTCGTCCTCGTTCCCTCTCCCCCTGTCCTCATGCTGCTCTTTCCATCCTCCCGTCCTTGATTCCTTCCTTCGGTCCTCCCTTCCCTCCATTCTCCCTTCCTTACCTGTTCTCCTCTTCCTCCTCCTCCTCCTCCTCCTCATCCTCCTTTTCCTTTTCGTCGTCCTCCTCCACCTCGTCTCTTCTCTTCCCTCCTCAGACCTCCTCCTCCTCCTCCTCTCATCTCCTTCCCTCCTCGCTCTCCACCTCCTCCTCCTCCTCCTCCTCCTCCTCCTCCTCCTCCGTTTGCATCTCCATCTCCTCCTCCTCCTCCGCCTCCTCCTCCTTCTGCATATTCTGCTCGTCCCTCCTTTTCCCTTCTCGCCCTCCACATCCGTCTCCTCCTTCTGTCTTCTCCTCCTCCTCCTCCTCCTCCTCCTCTTCCTCCTCCTCCTCATTATCATCCTCATCCCCCTCCTCCTCCTCCTCATCCACGAGATTAAAAACGCGCTGGAAGGGAAAGGGGGGGAAGGACAGGAGAAGGGATGCGGATGAGACAGGGGGGGTCCGATGCTCCCAGCCTGAGCCCCCGCGGCTTGTCCAAGAAGGAGGAGGAGGAGGAAGAGGAGCATAAGCAGGAACGGGAACAAAAGGGGGAGGCGGAGGGTGGGGAAGAGATACGGGAGGAGAAGGACAAAGAGGAAGAAAGAGAGCACGAGGCCGACAGCGAAAGTTCGCTCCGCCGAACCGCGCGGCCGCGGCCGCGCGCCGTAGGGGGCATGGCTTCACCTGAAGAGCCAGGACCCCCCGACCGTGAGGACCAGGCACAGGACAACCCCGCACTTCACCCATCGCCAGACTTCGTTAGCACTGCCGACGAACCGCACGATGACGGAAAGGGTTGGGCCGGCGGCGCCACACCGTGGGCGGCCTGGGACCCCGCCCACCCGACCCGTTCCCTCCCGCGCCAGCAGCGACAGGAGGAAAACCACCTTGCGCCCGCCAGCGACCCAGCTAGCTCTGCAGTTCTGCGAGGTCGTCCCAGACAATGTCCCGGAGCTGCACCAAATCGAAAGCGCCCGCGCTGGGGGCGGCCCGCGCCGCGGGTTGAGCCGGGCAACGGTTTGCCCCTTGCCCGTGCCCTTGCCCAGGCCCTTCGCGCGCCAGACGTTGGGCAGCCCATCGGCCCACTCGTCGGGCGCCAGCGGCCGCGCCCCGCGCCAGTCCTCCGCCGCCCCGCACCCGTCCTCGGCCATCTCCGTCAGGCTCCCGTCGCCCGCCCTCCCACCACGTCCGCGCGGGCGGCGCCGCCGCCGAGGGGCAGAGAGGGACGCGACCGCCGTCGGCAGGGGCGGGGCGGGCGCTGGGCGAGCCGTCCGCACGACGACCGCCGTCCCGAGCAGGCCCTCGGCGGCACGGATACGGCGCACCGCCTCCCGCTGGCCGCCCGTGGCCGCCGCGTGCGTGGCCGGGAGCGCGCGGCGCGCGGCCTCATGCGTACCCGGCATCGGTCGGACGGCGGGCAGGCGGCCCAGCGGCGAGACGAGGGGCCTGAGCCAAGATGGTATTGAAAAGGAGGAGCAGGATGAGGAGGAGGAGGAGGAGAAGGAGGAGGAGGAGGAGGAGGAGGCGGAGGAGGAGGAGAAGGAAGAGGAGGAGGAGGAGGAGGAGGAGAAGGAAGAGGAGGAGGAGAAGGAGGAGGAGTCGGAGGAGGAAGGGGGGAGGCTGAGAGAAGAGAACAAGGAGGAAGACGAGGAGGAGGAGGAGGCGGAGGAGGTAGATGAGGAGGCAGAGATGGGATCATAGGGATCAAGCTGACACGATGGTCCAGAGCGAGAGGCCCCGACCCCGCGGCCCTCAGGCGACCCCGCGAGCAATGCGCCGTCGGGCAGGCGGCGCTCGAAAGCGCGGCCATCGAAGAAGCCGAAGAAGACGAAGCCGCCGAATACGAGGCCCAGGCAGAGCCGCCAACACCGACGGCGGGGGGAAATCCGCGCAGCGTCCCCCAATCTGCGAGATCACATCTGCTTTCTATCGGCGCGTCTGCCTGTCGCCTGCGCGGCCGTCTGGGCAGCACCAGCTCCGCGAAGAACGTCCGCGTCATACAGAAGCCGCTCCCGCTCGGCAGGCCAGTCCGCGGCAGCCGAAACACCTTGGGGCGCTTGCGCGCTCGGGGGACGAGCATTCAGCGCGGATGGCTTCACAATCGATCCTCGGCCCCGTCGACACCGCAACCCGGGAGCCTGAAGCCGAGGCGACTTTAGTGAAAGACACGGCGTCCTCCTGCAGGCCCCTTCCCGCCTCCTCCTGCAAGAACGTCTTTCTCACGTCAGCCCAAGCCTCCGCCACCCTGGCGGATCTCGCCGCCTCGGCTGCAGCGAAGACAAGCAAAGGGGCTGTCTGTGCGACCCCTACCGCGCCAGGAATACCTTGTGCATTGCCGACGGGCTGCGCCAGCGCTCCGCTGAAGCTCACCTGCTCCTGCGGTACCGCCAGCATGCTGCCATGGTCCCGCACGGAGCTGACCTTGCCGACTGGCTCCGCCAGCGCCCCGCTGACGCTCGCCTGCTCCGTGGGCGCCGCCAGTTTACTGCCGCGGCTTCCCACGGAGCTGAGACATGCGCGCTGGCCGTCCGGGCACAGTCTCCCTGGCCTCCAGCAGCGCGGCATATCGACCTCCACGATGTGTCGACGTCGCCCAATGGGTGCTGGCCTCCGGGGCCTCCACGAGCTCCACGGTCTCGGCGAAGCGAGCGGCCTGCTTCTTGGCAATGTCGGCGGCGAGCGAGAGGAGGAAGTGAGAAGTGGCGGGCCTTCTCAGACAGAAAGAAGGCTCGGAAGTTCCCCGGCCTGCCGAGGAAGTTTTAGAAGCCTTCCTGGGAGACATACACACAACAAACAAAACCTCTCAGAAGGCGCGAGGGCTTCTGAGAAACCCCGCCGCCTTCTGAGAAGGCATTCTCCTCCTCACTGCCACCCCTCGCTCGCCGCCGATTGCGGGCAATCGGCATTGGACCCGCAGACCTGGCATCCACGCGGCGACGCCGCGCTGCACGAACCTCCTCGTCGGTCGGTGGCCGCCTGCAAAGACAGACGTGCGCCACGAGATCCCACGCCGCGGACCTTCTTGCCGATCGCGCCGGGAGCGGGGCGCCACTTGCTATCCTCCTGCTCGGCGCGGAGGGGGCTGAGGAGCACATACGCCTGCTCCTCCTGCGGGACGAACCCTGGCGAATCGGCCTCGAGGGCCGTGAACACGTTCGGCACCGCCTCCACCGGCGAAGGCGATAGCAAGCGGCGAAGACTGGCTTCGCACGCGTCCCGCCTCCGCGTTCGCGCCTAGGCCGCGATGTCCGCCTCGCGCGAAGCCGTGGGCCGCCGCGCCTTCATCGGGGGCGCGCAGACATGGATTAGCGATCCATGGATTAGGCGCGCGGTCGCCAGATCCATGGATCGGGGGAGGTGCCCTCCCCAAAAATGCGGCCGGTGCCACCTCGCTCGGCGGCGGGAATCCGCGATTTCCCATGGAAACGGGACCCGTCGCTAATCCACGTGCCCTTAATCCATGTCTGCGATCGCCTGACTTCAGGCAGCCTCCCTCGCCCCGAACCAGTTGCCGCCACCTGCCACCACCACCAAGGAGGCCGCAGGCACCAGATCCCAAGCCCGCAAGGTGAAGCCTCCGGGCTGGCGCTGGCCCGAGGCGCCGCAACGGCGCGCTGAGCCAAGATGGGACTTGAAGTGGAGGCAAAGGAGGAGGAGGAGGAGGAGGAGGAGGAGAACGAGGCGGAGGAGGAGGAGGAGGAGGAGGAGGAGGAGGAGGAAGAGAGGAGGAGGAGGAGGAGGAGGAGGAGGAGATCGAGGAGGAGGAGGAGGAGGAGGAGGAGGGGGAGGAGGAGGGAGGAGGAGGAGGAGGAGGAGGAGGAGGAGGAGGAGAGGAGAGGAGGAGTGGAGAGCAGGAGGAGGAGAACGAGAGAGGATGAGGAGGAGGAGAACGAGGAGGAGGAGGAGGAGGAGAGGAGGAGAACGAGGAGGGGAACGAGGAGGAGCAGGAGAAGAAGGAGGAAAACGAGGAGAACGAGGAGGAGGAGGAGGAGGAGGAGGCAAGGAGGAGGAGGAGGAGGAGGAGAAGGAGGAGGAGGAGGAGGAGAAAGAGGAGGAGGGGGAGGAGGAGGAGGAGGAGGAGAAGAAAGAATGAAGATGGTGATAATGATGATGATGATGATGATGATGATGATGATGAGAGGAGGAGGAGGAGGAGGAGGAGGAGGAGGAGGAGGAGGAGGGGGAGGAGGAGGAGGAGGAGGAGGAGGAGGAGGAGGAGGAGGAAGAGGAGGAGGAGCTCCTCGCCCCCTCTGGCGATGCCCTGACCTCTTCCCCGCGGTTCTGAGGCCGCGGCCGCGGCGACGCGGCAGCAATCCACCACCTCCGAGAGCTGCAGCCCAGAGCCGAGCAGGCCCTCTACGAGCACCTCGAACCTCGGGGGGGGGGGGGGGCTGTGGTGGCGATTGTCTCGGCGCCCGCGCTCCTCCCCCGCCTCCCCCCTTCCTCCTCCTCCGCGCCTTCCTGCTGACTGCCTGCGGTGGTCGTCTGGTAAACCGCCAAGCCATACGCCAACCCCAGAGCGAGGGGAATGGCGCGTCCGGGATGGGGGGCTCGCCTGCGGTGGGGGCGAGACACGTCCAGCGCCTCTCCCTACTCCTTCGCTCGCGCCTCGGCACCTCCTCCAGGCAGCGCCAGCGCGACAGACACCCGCCTCCCTTCCCCGCCCCGCATGGGCGTACGGTGCTGGCGGTCTGGACTGGTGGAAGGCGCAGGGGGCGCGAAGTGTGGGACAGGACGGAGGTGAGAGCGGGCGTGAGCGGGTCCAACCCAGTCTTTCGCAGTTGCAGGGTTCGTGCCAGCCGCTGGGTCGGTAGCTGCGGCAGGGGCGGCGGCAGTAAGCTATAGCGAGGCGCCTGCCCGCCAGCAGTCGTGTAAAGTCGCCGCCGTCGAGGTGAAAGGTAAGCGTCGGCAGCAAGCGTTTGCTTAGAACCACACCTGGTTGGTGGACCCAGAGGTCCTTCCACACTGGGGCAGAGGTTGCCCACTCTCCCGCGCAAGGAGGGAGGGGAGGAGTGGGGGGAGCCAAGCTCGCGAATGTGTAGACCGACTGGGGCTTCCCCCAGGGCGCGCGCACATAGGTCCCACGCGAGCTGTGGGAGAGGGGGAGGCAGAAGGTAAGCGCAGGCAAACGAGTGCGCGCAGGCAACGACGAAAGGTAAATGTGGATCCGCGCATGGGGGGTGCAGGGGGACGGGGGACGGGAAGCTCTGTGAGCAAACCGCCCTTGACGCCCCCCCCCAAGACGAGGGGGCAGCGCGAGATGATGAATCAACTAACTAAAACGAGCATGCAATGCAAAGCAGTATCCGAACGGGGAGGGAGGACAGAGCGAAAGAGCACGAAGAAGAGCACAAGAGATCCTGCCCTCCCCGAACAACTACTAGTTCAGCAGCCGGGGGGAAGCCAGGAAGAGAAAGGGAGGGGGAGGGGGGGGAGGGGGGGGTGTAAAGGAGGGAGGAAGGGAAAAGGCACGGCGACGCCGGGCGACAGGGCCTCTGGCCGACCAGACGGCCTGCACGGACAGCAATGCACCACGGCGCCGTGGAGCAGCATGCCCTCGCCTCGGACCCAAAACCGCTCCGCGGGCCAGGAAGAGAAGATCTCTTCCGAGCATCGGCGTGTGTGCCGCCGTGGCGGCATGCCGCCCGGGAGGCAACGCACAGAACACGCGACGCCGACGGGAAAAAACGGGACGATGCCATACCAGGAACGGGCAGCAACAGCAGCAGCAGCAGCAGCAGCTGCAGCAGCAGCAAAAGGACGAAGACCACCGCGGGAGAGGGGCCGGCGAGGGGGGCCACGACCCCCCCCCCGCTGGATCGAGAACGGGAGAGGCGAGGGAGCCGCGCCCAGGGGGGGAGGAGAGGTGCCCGCGGCAGTTCGAGGCACAGACAGGTGCCAGCTGAGGCCGATCGTGAGGGGCAACGATAAGGGGGAGACTGACATGGGGGGGGATGCATCGACCTGGAATCGGCGATGCATCGTCGATGGATCGGCCATAGGCCTCCGATAGTGCATCCGCACCTTCATGGGCGAGGTGGGGCTTTTGGGCCCCCATCGGCGATCAATGGACGATTGGGGGTCGATGCATCCCCCCCTATGCCCATCCCCCCCTATCGTTGCCCCCGAGATCGACAGGCAGCCCACGGCAAGTGGAATAGCTACGTACCAATGTCCGGTCCGCTCCGCTCCTCGCCGTGCCCGCCTTGATGTTCTTCGTCGTCGTCGTCCCCCTCTTTTTCTCAATCATTCTCGCTGTGTCCATCCCTCCATTCCTCCACCCTCTTGTCAATCTCGATCCTCCCACCCTCGCCATCTTCAGATTTCTCTTCCTCGGCCTCGTCCTTCTCTTTTTGATATTCCTCTTGCCCCTGCTCATCCCTCGCCTAGCCATGGCTGCTCTTCCCCCTCATCCTTCTCCTACTCCTCCTGCACCTCTTCCCTCGATCACCATCCCAGACAGGAAGGGGAACCGAAATTTACTGGGGGGGGTTCTGGCGGGAACTCGATGTCGGCATCGCCGCCACCCTACCTCTTTCTCGTCCCACCCTCCCCTCCTCCACCACATCTTCCCACATTCCCCTTCTCTGCCGCCTCCTGCTCTTGCCTCCTTCTCCTCCCTCCTCCTATTGTCTCATCCTCCTCCTCGTCGTCGTCGTCCTCCTCCTCCTCCTCCTCCTCCTCATCCTCCTCCTCTTGGCTCCTCCTGCTCCTCCTCCTCCTCCTCCTCCTCCTCTCCTCCTCCTCCTCCTCCTCCTCCTCCTCCTCCTCCTCCTCCTCCTCGTCGCCGTGTCGTGCGGTCTGCGAGACGACTCGTGGGTCGGGTGGCTGAGCAGCCACGGGGCAACACGCTCCCTATTTCTGCATTCGGGTGCTGGTCGCAGGGGCGCACCGTCCAACGCTCACGGAGGAAGAGGAGGAGGAGGAGGAGAAGGAGGAGGAGGAGGAGGAGGAGGAGGGGAGAAGGAAGAGGAGGAGGAGGAGCCAGAGGGGGACGAGGAGGAGGCTGAGGAGGGAGGAGGAGGAGGAGGAGGAGGAGGGGAGCACGAAGCAGGAGGAGAGGAGGAGGAGGAGGAGAGGAGATGAGGAGCAGGAAGGAGGGAGGATGAGGAAGAGGAGAGAGGAGGAGGAGGAGGAGGAGGAGGGAGGAGGAGGAGGAGGAGGAGGAGGAGGAGGAGGGGAGCACGAGCAGTAGGAGGAGGAGGAGGAGGAGAGAGGAGAAGGAAGAGGAGGAAGGAGGAGGAGGAGGAGAGAAGGAGGAGGAGGATGAGGAGTCACGAGCAACGAGCAGGAGGAAGAGGAGGAAGCAGAGAGGGGAGGAGGAGGAGGAGAAGGAGGAGGAGGAGGAGGACGAGGAGGAGGAGGAGGAGGAGGAGGAGGAGGAGTGCCTCACGCGTTTCTGACACAACCTCGTCGCGCGCTGGGAGCCCGAGCTCGCGCGGGAGGGAAGCGTTTGGGAGACGCCGCTCCCCGACTCGACCGCCAAGCGATGCTTGCGGGACGTGGGGAACGTCAAAATGTTACGCCCGTCCCCTAAGCTTTCCGTGACAAATTGCCTGCTCCCCCGCATGGGTAAGAAGGGCGGCGCCTGCAATCGAGGATGAAGGGAAAATACGCCGCAATCGTGAGATCATCCTCCTCCTCCTCCTCCTCCTCCTCCTCCTCCTCCTCCTTCCACTCCTCCTCGCCCTCTTCCTCCGACGCCTCCCCCCCCCGAGAGACCTGCCCAGACATCAGACGTCATGACTTGTTCGTGCCTTGGCCCCCCCGACGCTCGACCGCATGCCAAGAGTCGGCTCGTCACCCGGGCCGCTTTGTGGAGAACCCACGGCCCGCAACGGTCCCCCGAGTGCCCGAAATCGCACAGCATGATGCTGTCGTGACTTCTCTTCGTGGCGCAGGAGGCCTGGGTTCCCCCCCTTCCCATCCCCTGCCCTCCCTGACTGGGGGACGCCAGATCCGGGCCGGAGCACGTGAGATACAGTCAAACAGTATAGTAAGGATGCGCGATAGGGATGCAAGGGCCTTGGAAGCCCATTTCGAAGCTTGGCGAGCGGGGCGCGGCCAACGAAAGTGGCCAAGGATGGACCGAGGAGGCAAGGGTGCAAGGGTACCATTAGGAAGGTTGCCCATCCTTACTATGCGGTCTGACTGTAGGAGGGTCCCACCACATCGCCGATGCATCGGCGACACCAGGCTACAGCGGAGGCCAGTCCACAAGAAACCTTCCACAAGAAACCCAACCCTGATACCCCAGGACGTCCATGTATTTTTGGGAAGGTCATGCTTTCCTCAGCAAAACCATTGAAACCCCCAAAAACCCAGGGCACCCTGGAGGCAAGCAGGGTGCTTCTTGGCATGGGTCTCCACTGTACAAAAACTTGGGCTGTGAATCGCACCGCATCGACGTTGCGACGCATCGGCGATGCGAAGCGATTCTGCTGTCAGAGTCTACCAAGGTGCCCAGAACACCCGAGAGGTCTCCAGAGGTCCCCGGAGGCCTCTGGAAGCCTCTGGTCCCTGGCTGAAGGCCTCCAGGAAGGGGCGGAGAGGAGGAGAAGCAGGGGTGATAATGAAATGAGAACGAAAAACTTCCTCCTCCTCCTCCTCCTAATATTTCCTTCCCTGGAGGCCCCCAAACTATGGAAACCTGCAGAGCACACCGAAAGTCCCGACGTGTCTTCCTCGAGCCCCTCGGGCCCCTCTTCGGGCGGCGGGGGGCTGCTGCCGCAGGGGGGGGGCGGGGCCCGGCCGCGCTTCGTGGGTCGGCCCTCCCTGGAGGAGCCACTTGACCTCGGATCCCGGCGGCGCTTGGCCGACCGCACACCCTCGGTCGCGATCACCGTTCGCCGAAGCCGCCGACTCCATCGTCGTGATCGCCGTCGTCGTCGCCGCCGACGGCAACGTCGTCATCGCCGTGGTCGTGGTCGTTGTCGTCGTCGTCGTCGTCGTCATGATCGTCGTCGTCGTCGTCGTCGTGGTCGTCGTCGTCGTCGTCATCGTGGTCGTCGTGGTCGTCGTCCTCCTCCTCCTCCACATCCACCTCGTCCTCTTCCTTCATCTGATCATCCTCGCTGAGCGCCTTCGTGGCTCTCGCCTGAGTGCCGCGCACACTCGTCCTAAACACTCGCAAGAGCTTCACGGATTGAGGGCGGGCGGTTTTCAACATGTGGCTCCCGACTTAGCGCCGCGTGCACTCGTTTTAAAGCATCGTACGAGCTGAACGAATTGAGGGCGGGTCGTTTTCAACATGTGGCTCTCAACTTAGCGCCGCGCACATTCGCTCGATCAAAGTGCAAGAGTTTCACAAACTGACGGCGGCTCCATTTCAAAATGTGGTTCTTGCCGTGGCGCCGCGCACAATCGTTTCAAA